TATGCATTTAAACTTGTTTGGTTTTGGATGCACGAAGTTATCTACCCTTAGGGGAGGCCCTTAGGGGAGGCTTAATACGACATGACTTAAATACAGTTTTAAAAGAAAATGACAGAGATGATTGTACAGTGTTTAACGAATATTTTTGTAATGCGGCAAAAACCTAGGTACAGAGGTGGACGGAATCGCTGACCACTCCTCTCACCCTAGCATACAGACTATCCAAACTGAAATTTTAACCGGACCAAAATCTTTCACTTTTAAAACTGAACTTTCAAGTAATGTTAAAGATGTGATAAGTAAGCAGGATACACAGTAAGCTGTCTGCGTTGATGGTATCTCTGCAAAAATGTTGAAAGCTGGCTCTGAATCTTTATGTCAACCACTCACAAATATTTTAAACTTTTGTATTGCTGAAGGAAGATTTCCACACTCATTTAAACTAGCCCAGGTCATTCCTATCTTCAAAAAAAATCAAAAGAGCAAATTTCATCTTTCACTATTTGAGATCACCAAATTACATGTGCAGATAGTGTGAATTTACTTGGGGTCGAAATTGACAGTGATCTAAAATTTGAAAATCATATAGCAAACTTATGTAGGAAGGCTTCAAACAACTTTGTATACTCAAGAGAATTGAAAATCATCTGACAAAAAAAGCAAGTCACCGTTTTTAAATATTTATTTTTCTATCAAATTTTAATTTTTGTCCTCTTTCTTGGCATTTTTATAGTATTAGAAATACCAGAAAAAATGGAAAAAATACAAGAAAGAGCTGTACGTTTTAGTAATAATGAGTATAGCTCCTATATGAAAGATCTTTTAGCTAGGAATACATTTTCTGTTTTTCATATATGTAGGCTGAAGACCATGGCCAAGGAAGTATACAAGATTTTAGATAATATTGCTCCAGAATTCTTGAGGAGTCTTATCAATTTGACACTGTGACTATACCAAGAGTAAATACTTCCCAATATGGGTAGCAATCTTTTTGTTTCGAAGCCGCCCAGGTGCGGAATAGTCTACCTAATGAGATAAACAGAAAACTACCAGGTTTTTCTGTAGGCTGTTGCACACCTGGGAAGATGTTCTCTGCCAGTGTTCTATATGTTTCTGACTTTCATCTTATTGATCTCTCATTTTATTTGAGTTTTTGCTTTTATTTTGCTTCTTACATTACTTTAAATTGTCTAAGTATTTTATAGATAATAAAGTATCTTATTAATCATTTATGATTTTTTTTTATGAAATATGTGCTTACTAAATCTGATATGTTGTTATATGCTTTATGCTTATGTTATAATTAGTTCTTTTCCTGATTTGTAACATGCATGTGTTATCATCACACTATTTTCTGATTATTTTTGTCGTTTCTATCTATATAGTTTTTGCTGCATAATCCTACTTTTTCTACTAACATGCTTTTTACCTTGTTATTACTTTGTATTTATACTTATGTTTGTCGTAAAAATAGCTTCACAGAACGTTATGCCATATAAGACAGTAAATACATCTTCATGTATATTGTATCTTGTATCTTTGCTTGTAGAAACTTTCAATCCCGTGTGAAGTAAATAATAAAATCACGGGGCTTTGCCGATTGATTTACATAAAGATCGTATCGATGTTTAGAATTCTCTACCTAACCTGTCATTAACATACACGTTATTAATTAATATTCTTCCGTACTTTCCTTATGCTAGAAATACTTTTCAATGACGCATGAGACTAGTCCGAATTATTCTGACGTTTTATCGACTTTTTAGCCCACCATCATCTGATGGTGGGCTATTCAAATCACCCTGCGTCCGTGGTCCGTCGTCCGTCCGTCGTCCGTTGTCCGTCTGTAAACAATTCTTGTTATCGGTATTTCTCAAGAAGTCCTAGAGGGATCTTTCTCAAATTTTATATACAGGTTCCCCTTGGTCCTTAGCTGTGCAGGGCAACTTTTGAGACTGATCAGATAAACAACATGGCCGACAGGCAGCCATCTTGGATTTTGATATTGAAAGTTTGTTATCGCTTTTTCTCAAGAGTACTAGAGGGAGCTTTCTCAAATTTTAAATATAGGTTCCCCTTGGTCCTTAGCTGTGCTGGGCAACTTTTGAGACTGATCGGATAAACAACATGGCCGACAGGCAGCCATCTTTGATTTTGTTATTGAAAGTTTGTTATCGCTATTTCTCAAGAAGTACTAGAGGGATCTTTCTCAAACTTTATACGTAGGTTCCCCTTGGTCCTTTGCTGTGCAGGGCAACGTTTGAGACTGATCGAATAAACAACATGGCCGACAGGCAGCCATCTTGGATTTGGATAGTGAAATTTTGTTATCGCTATTTCTCGGGAAGTATCAGAGGGATCTTTCTCAAATTTTATATGTAGGTTTCCCTTGGTCCTTAGCTGTGCTGGGCAACTTTTGAGACTGATCGGATAAACAACATGGCCGACAGGTAGCCATCTTGGATTTTGATAGTGTGGGTTTGTTACCGCTATTTCTCAAGAAGAACTGGAGGGACCTTTCTTAAATTTTATATGTAGGTTCCCCTTGGTCCTAGCTGTGCAGGGCAATTTTAGAGACTGATCGGATAGACAACATGGCCGACAGGCAGCCATCTTGGATTTTGATATTGAAAGTTTGTTATCGCTTTTTCTCAAGAAGTACAAGAGGGATCTTTCTCAAATTTTATATGTAGGTTCCCCTTGATCCTTAGCTGTGCAATGCAACTTTTGAGACTGATCGAATAAACAACATGGCCGACAGGCAGCCATCTTTGATTTTGTTATTGAAAGTTTGTTATCGCTATTTCTCAAGAAGTACTAGAGGGATCTTTCTCAAACTTTATACGTAGGTTCCCCTTGGTCCTTTGCTGTGCAGGGCAACGTTTGAGACTGATCGAATAAACAACATGGCCGACAGGCAGCCATCTTGGATTTGGATAGTGAAATTTTGTTATCGCTATTTCTCGGGAAGTATCAGAGGGATCTTTCTCAAATTTTATATGTAGGTTTCCCTTGGTCCTTAGCTGTGCTGGGCAACTTTTGAGACTGATCGGATAAACAACATGGCCGACAGGTAGCCATCTTGGATTTTGATAGTGTGGGTTTGTTACCGCTATTTCTCAAGAAGAACTGGAGGGACCTTTCTTAAATTTTATATGTAGGTTCCCCTTGGTCCTAGCTGTGCAGGGCAATTTTAGAGACTGATCGGATAGACAACATGGCCGACAGGCAGCCATCTTGGATTTTGATATTGAAAGTTTGTTATCGCTATTTCTCAAGAGGTACGAGAGGGATCTTTCTCAAATCTTATACGTAGGTTCCCCTTGGTCCTTAGCTGTGCAGGACAACTTTTGAGACTGATCGGATAAACAACATGGCCGACAGGCAGCCATCTTGGATTTTGATAGTGAAAGTTTGTTATCGCTATTTCTCAAGAGGTACGAGAGGGATCTTTCTCAAATTTTATATTTAGGTTTCCCTTGTTCCTTAGCTGTGCTGGGCAATTTTTGAGACTGATCGGATAAAACAACATGGCCGACAGGCAGCCATCTTGGATTTTGATAGTGTGGGTTTGTTACCGCTATTTCTCCGGAAGAACTAGAGGGATCTTTCTTAAATTTTATATGTAGGTTCCCCTTGGTCCTAGCTGTGCAGGGCAACTTTTAGAGACTGATCGCATAAACAAAATGGCCGACAGGCAGCCATCTTGGATTTTGATAGTGAAAGTTTGTTATCGCTATTTCTCGGGAAGTACGGGAGGGATCTTTCTCAAATTTTAAATGTAGGTTCCCCTTGATCCCTCGTTGTGTATGTTATATTTTGAGACTGATCATAAAAACAAAATGGATTAAAAGAAGAACTAAACAGATCTTTCTCATATTGCAATGATCGATTCTATTTCTTTCACATTAAGTACTGTACTAGTAAATATGTGAAATGACAAACTCACTTTGAAGGTTGGCTTTCATACACATCAGTATTAAGTTTAGATCAAAAGTTACCTCAAGGTGCATTTACTGTTAACATGACTCGATCAAACAGATTAGAGGAAAGAAGAGAAAAGATCGAAGTGACAAAGAACTAATGAAGATGGTACAAAGGTGGGCGCCAAGATCCCTCTGGGATCTGTTGTTTTTTATATCGTCTGTCGTCGATTAATGTCAGAACTCCGGCCTTCTATCATATGCGGGAAATAAGCGACCCAAGCCCGGGTCGCACTTCAAACTGATATGTTAGAAACAAATCGTCACTTTCATACACATGTCGCACATGAATCGAAAGATCTATTCTTTATGCACAAGATGAACATAAATTACATGCCTCAAACAACCAATACAATCACTAAAAACATATTTTTTCAAACTTACTAGTTTTACTCTAGTTTTATCACTAGTCCATATTTGTGAGGAACAAATACATACTACTTAAATTGGCATACACACTACTAATACAGATACATGGTTGTGAGTATAAGTGTACCTAAATGATCTTTCCACTACCTGGGAACATTTGGAAACATCGACAAACACAGAACAGTATTGTTGTTAGCGGTGTTAGACTCTGTGCTATTTAAATGAAAATAACACGTAAAACATTGACGTTTAGCTGTCTAGTAACTGTGTCTATGTACCTTCAACAATTAACTTATCTGACGTACAGTGTTGACAGCCTGATGGTGTAACGGGGTCGCGCACCTTTATACGCAGGCCAGCTCATTAGAGTCGGGGCTTTGTGGATTGGGTAACCAAGGTAACCGAAGCTGATATAACTAGATATAGTGTTTACCATGGCGACTACCCATCATACATAAACTGTTCAGACAAAAGTAGTCGCCACTCTCACCTGGCTATTGACAAGTGAACAAAAGGTATATAGCTCAAATCATACATCACGGTCCACGCCTATGTGATAATAGTGGTGATACGTTTCCGTTCACCTAGGGATTACTAGCTGCAGATCGATATATCGACGCGAGAGGACGCGCTTCTGATATCGTGGCCGTACTTCAAGATATACTACAGTTATACGGAGCTCGTGTCATTCTGGCAGACATTATCACAGCACAGCTGTTTTGAAGAAGAATCATGCTCACAGTTGGACAACACCACACGCTCGCTTCGTTTGACTCATAAAGCCATTTGGAGAGTTTATCACATACAAGATATGCCTAATGACTCGTAGCGCGGACTAGTGTTCGTCTTGGAATTGGCAGCAACTCTTGAAGTCGTGTTGAATGTTCTAGAATTTGTTGACAAAAACGATTTACTGTCCCTACTACAGTGTGTACTTCCGGTGTTATTAACGATGTCCATCGGTTTTCTCATTTGAAGAGATACATTTTATTTCAGTAAATTGTTTAACGTCTCGTTGAAGATTAACACCGACTGTGAAGCTGACAATGGGAAGCGGATCGTCCATCGACACCTCTAAGACAATCCACTTGTCTATCGCTGGAAAAAGCGAAAAGGTAGGTTTATTGTACAATTCGTTGACATACTTAATTGTGTTGTTTTACTAAGGAATATAGCGATTCTATTCTGGAACAAACAAATCGAAAAAGATAAAAAAAAAAAAATTTTAAATGCATGAAATTTAAGAAATGACATAATAAGTTTGCGTCATATATTAATAACAACTTTCAATTAATACGTGGTAGCTGATAAAGATTGCAAAAGCAAGAATCAAAATGAGAAGGTTGATCTGTATTGTTTTAGTTTGCTAATATTGTGAGAGGGAAAAATATTGTATCTTAATTTAAGCTGATAATTGGTACAAAAATATTAAAACAGTTATTACTAAAATTTACGGAAAAAGTGTTATTTTTGAATGTTTCTATTTGTTTTCATTTTTTTTTCTCTATTTTTCTTGACTTCTTGTTGCCGTCGGATTACTCGGGAGAATTTGAGTTATCGGCATGTTGTATAATAGATATGTTTAAATATGTAATTATTTAATCATGTCGGAAAGTTTAAGGTGAAAGAATATACAACATTTTTTCTTCTTTTTTACTTGACTCTTGGATTGACAAATTTTAAAAGCCTGTGTGTTTTTTTTTCTATTTTCCTTTTTCCCCCTTTCGGAGGTCAAATTTTTATGGTATTCACAAAGATGTGAAACGCAGATTCGACGTAATTACTAACTTCCATTGTTATATCGTCCGAGTAGAATGAACGTCGAGGCACTTGTTACGTTTTTATTAAAGCAATGAATGTTTTTGCAAATGTTGTTATGGTCATATAATACCTATGGCTATTGATGACAAACAATATTCGCTAAAATATTCATTACACATGTATAGTTATTTCGAACAATTCTTTTAACAACAGATTTAGTGTTGACAACAATGAAATTGATGAAGTCACAAAAGAGATTAATGAAAGCATTTAACAAATGTGTTTATAGTCTCATAACAAGATCTCAATGCATTACAATGGAATCTTATAGTGAAGAGTTTACGCATGCCTTCATTTAATCTAAAGGAGTTTGTGGTAATCCTAATACCGTAATGCTAATGGATATTTTATATAACAAGGTGGTTGGTTGACGACGGACCTTTAGTCCATGTAGTTGTCAGTGGCCTGGTAGCTGGGATCTATTCGGTTGACGACGGACTTTTAGTCCATGTAGTTGTCAGTAGCCTGGTAGCTGGGATATATTCGGTTGACGACGGACCTTTACTCCACGCAGTTGTCAGTAGCCTGGTTGCTGGGATATATTCGGTTGACGACGGACCTTTAGTCCACGCAGTTGTCAGTAGCCTGGTTGCTGGGATATATTCGGTTGACGACGGACCTTTAGTCAATGTAGTTGTCAGTAGCCTGGTAGCTGGGATCTATTCGGTTGACGACTGACCTTTAGTCCATGTAGTTGTCAGTAGCCTGGTAGCTGGGATCTATTCGGTTGACGACGGACCTTTAGTCCACCCAGTTGTCAGTAGCCTGGTAGCTGGGATCTATTCGGTTGACGACGGACTTTTAGTCCACCCAGTTGTCAGTAGCCTGGTAGCTGAGATCTATTCGGTTGACGAAGGACTTTTAGTCCACCCAGTTGTCAGTAGCCTGGTAGCTGAGATCTATTCGGTTGACGACGGACCTTTAGTCCATGTTGTTGTCAATAGCCTGGTAGCTGGGATCTATTCGGTTGACGACGGACTTTTAGTCCACCCAGTTGTCAGTAGCCTGGTAGCTGAGATCTATTCGGTTGACGAAGGACTTTTAGTCCACCCAGTTGTCAGTAGCCTGGTAGCTGAGATCTATTCGGTTGACGACGGACCTTTAGTCCATGTTGTTGTCAATAGCCTGGTAGCTGGGATCTATTCGGTTGACGACGGACCTTTAGTCAATGTAGTTGTCAGTAGCCTGGTAGCTGGGATCTATTCGGTTGACGACCGACTTTCAGTCCACCTAGTTGTCAGTAGCCTGGTAGCTAGGATCTTTTCGGTTGACGACGGATTTTTAGTCCACCCAGTTGTCAGTAGCCTGGTAGCTGAGATCTATTCGGTTGACGAAGGACTTTTAGTCCACCCAGTTGTCAGTAGCCTGGTAGCTGAGATCTATTCGGTTGACGACGGACCTTTAGTCCATGTTGTTGTCAATAGCCTGGTAGCTGGGATCTATTCGGTTGACGAAGAACTTTTAGTCCATGTAGTTGTCAGTAGCCTGGTAGCTGAGATCTATTCTGTTGACGACGGACCTTTAGTCCATGTTGTTGTCAAAAGCCTGGTAGCTGGGATCTATTCGGTTGACGACGGACCTTTAGTCAGTGTAGGTGTCAGTAGCCTGGTAGCTACGATTTATTCGGATGACGACGGACCCTTAGTCCATGTAGTTCTCAGTGGCCTGGTAGCTCAGATCTATCCGGTTGGCGACGGACCTTTAGTCCACGGAGTTGTCGGTGGCCTGGTAGCTGAGATCTCTCCGGTTGACGACGGACGGACCTTTAGTCCATGTTGTTGTCAGTAGCCTGGTAGCTACGATTTATTCGGATGACGACGGACCTTTAGTCCATGTAGTTGTCTGTAGCCTGGTAGCTGGGATCTGTTCGGTTGACAACGGACCTTTAGTCCATGTAGTTGTCAGTGGCCTGGTAGCTGAGATCTATTCGGTTGACGACGGACCTTTAGTCCACGCAGTTGTCAGTAGCCTGGTAGCTGGGATATATTCTGGCACGGTTTGTAGCGTTATGTAGATGTTCCCCTAACAAGTGATGGTTGGATATCATGCCTTTGAACTCGAGTTAGATAATTTTGAAACTGTACAATGACACGAGGTTAATAGAGTGTATTTCATAACTTCATAATGAACAAATGAGAGTTAGATAAACGTGATAAATAACCATTGCGTCTTTGGCGACTTGTTATTGCCTATCGCATTCCCTTAAAGAATACATTATGTCTGTTTCCGATGGGAAAACAGTCGCAGTACACTAACGTTAGCACATATCAACGGGCCATTGAAACCAGATTTTATCGTTAAATTGTTTGATGGAGTGTTAGATAAATGGTTCTGGCTTTTAAAAAATTATCATGAAACAATTTTTAACTCTTTAGAAACGTGGCGAAACTGCTCTGTTCGAAAACAAACACTTGAACAAAGGCTTTGATTATGTTATTTCAAAACCTTAGAGAGGCACTAGCAAAATTTGGTGCGTTGTTTTATTTTTGAAATTCAAATAACTTGTGTAAGATTAATATAAAAAACACGTCACTCGTTGTGCAGTCTCTATTTACTATCTATAATGAACAATCGACCAATTTGTACCTCGTGCTTTTCGATCGTTCGTAAGTATCCCCGGCACCATTGCGAAAAATGATATTACGCTTTTAGAACATTTTTTTCGTATGACTGAAAAACGGTACTAAAACACGTTACAAAAACACGGTAATAAAACACGGTACTAAAACACGATACTAAAACACGGTACGAAAACACGATACTAAAACACGTTACTAAAACACGATACTAAAACACGATACTAAAACACGGTACTAAATCACGATACTATACCAAGATACTAAAACACGGTACAAAAACGCGATACTAAAACACGGTACTAAAACACGGTACTAAAACACGGTACTAAAACACGATACTAAAACACGATACTAAAACACGGTACTAAAACACGATACTAAAACACGATACTAAACACGGTACTAAAACACGGTACTAAAACACGATACTAAAACACGGTACTAAAAGCTTGATCTGCTTAAAATATCGTTTACAAAATTTTTCAAAATGCATTTGTCTTAAAAAAATCTGATGATAAACAAATATCTTTTAATAACATATGTATAGTGTCGAGATCTTCTTTAACATCTTCACCACTGAAGACACATTTGAACTCTTCTAATTCCAAGTTTGGAATAGTTCATTTTGAAATTTCAAGGGTGAATGAGTTAATCTATACGTAGGTTTAATTAAAAGTTCAGAATTCTGATAAAATTTGATTTTTATCCACCATGAAGGTTTTGTGTTTACTTGTTGCTAAGCTAACTTAACAGTGAACTGGTGCTGCCGTTAAAGATTCTCGAGTGATCAAACCATCTCCTACGCTAGTCAATTTCCATCTAAACACAAACAAAGATTTGTTTAAGGTTTATGCCACGTATTTCCAAGCTGTAAAATTGAAGGTGTGCCGGGTTTGGATGCCTTGAGCGAAGCCTTCCTACACATTTTGTCCTTTCACAAGAGGAGAGTTGTCCGCCCTTTGACTCATTTGCCGTTGCATTCTAATTCATTCATGTTTGCATCTGCGTCTAACATAAGGTACCATACATAGTAGGAAGTAAGGTAACTTGATTATCGCTTCTGTACTGTTATAAAAACACACTTTTCTGATGAATCTGAATCTCTGGGCAAAATATTGAATTTCGGTCGCCTTTATGCCAAGTTCTTTACTTTGTTTGTCATGGACATCAGTACAACTCTTTGATGTACTTGATCATGCGTCACTCATCCAGGTGTCGCTTTGATTGGAGACATGATTAACTGAATGTAACAAAACAATGCAACAGCAAAAAGTATTTTCACATAAAAATCCTAGTATACATAAGTATGTACTACAGGCGTCAACAGTTAGGATTAAAAGGGAACAAAACACGTTAAGAGGACCCAGCGGAAGCGCCTAAAATAATACCTAATGTTTTAAAGGGTTTTACGTCCTGATAATATCTTAAGGTCATTTAAGGACGTGCTTTCGTGTGTTATGTTTGGGTGCTGTGTATTCCTGCATGTGTGTATGTGTGCTGGAGGCAGGGTATGTTGGTGTATTTGCCTCAATGCGATAGTGTGGATCTGATGCCAACTTTATAGTGCTATCTCACTGAAATACCATGTCGAAGGTACTCCGCACAGCCTTCCAGCCGGCAATATTAAAACATTACCCTTCATGCTGAACGCTTAGCAGGCAATAACGGATACCCAGACTTTCGTATATCTCGGCATTGGGACAGAATGTATGGCC